TATATCCGAGTTGTCATTCGGGCAAACGGCAGCTGTTTCTTTGTGATAATGATGTTAAGATGGCAAAAGAGGAAGATGATTACAAAACTTATCACTTCAGTCCGTAAGTTCATTTAATGCTTGTGTAGCGCACAGTTCCATCCGAATGTTGTTTTAGTGATAAGGGTGATACCATTGTCCTTGATTGCATCCACTCTATACGATCTTAACCGCTTGAGTCAGAGCTTACACCAGAGCGAGCATGAACCCTTGGAGTAAGTTTGCGTCTGAGCATAATTCGAGTGGAAGTGACTGAAACTCTGTATCGAATGCGTTTTAGAAGTTGACTGATTACAGTCACCCCATTGATTACTTCTTAGTTCATCAATAAATTCTGGCAGATACTCAACTCATTTGACAGAACAAACGCTTGCTAATTCGTCTGATTTTTCCTCAGTCCTTGATCCTTAATCGCATCACAAATCCATCTTCAATAATCCTTCCACGAAACGTATAACAATGTTTTCGCCAATCCATTTCAAGATGCATTATTCGTAATATTCTGTTAATTGATATTTATTTCATTAGTCTCGTCTGGAGTAGACAGGCTTTATATAATTTGATACATATTATGATATACCGCGATGAATGAATGAGACGATGATGTTAGTAGGTGAGAGAGAGGGAGAATAATGTAGATTCGACGTTGACTTCTTGTGAAACTTTTGATAAGAACGGGAAAAAAGTTCTTGTTGAACCGATATTGATTTGTTGCAATGAAATGTTGGATTTGAAGTGTTGTTGCACTTTTTGAACTGTCTGATTGCTTGATTTTTTGTTGAAGCTGCAGCAAAAACAATAAAATAGTTAGCTTACTTTTTTAAATGAAACGCCGTGATAAAAATCTCCGAAAATCGGGAAATAATCAATCGTATAATGTGAATGCAGTCGAATGGATGCGAACACTTTACACTCAACAAACATTCATCTATCTTTCTATCTATTGATCTGAACATGCTCAATTCTTGAATCCGTTCCAATGTGCTTGCTCTACCAGCTCTTAAAATTCATCTTAACATACCAGCCTATAATCCAAGTTGTGGATATTACTGCGTTGAGTATGCTCGTTTTACAAGTAAGCAGCAAGTGTTGTACTTCGTAGAATCAACCTCTTTGGCAGCACATCTGTATTTTGTTTTTGATTCAGTCGCTCTAACCATTGCAATCACTAATCGTTATCTATTCTCCTTTATGTGTTATTATTAATGAGTTATTTTGAATCACTGTTCATCCCTCTTTGCACTCTTCTCGCAGCTTTACTTCGTTGTTGCTTTGAACGAAACGTCTGCTCAATCATACCGCAGACAATAAATCGCCGCCTCGTACGGGGGAAACGCCTGCAATTGATAATTTTTAGCGATGAAATGAACGATCGAATTTCGAATTTTCTTCATTTCGTTTTCGATTTTAACAATGACCGTTCGCTTGCTCGCTCATTCATTGTTTCATAACTTTTCTCAGTTCCTTTTCTTAGCCGAAAATTTTCGCATATATTATCGTTCTTTGTTATCGAAACTGATAAATTTGATACTGTTTGTGAAATTTCAGCGCTTCGCATAGTTCTTTCTCATCGTCATCTTCAAAATCTCATAATTACCACCACTACTAATTCTACTGCTATTACAGTTTCTAGAATACTAAAATTTTCCTCACGTGCGAAAAAAACGATTCGATTCACGACGCAGCGAATGGAGAATAATATTTCGTTTTGAAACGTTGACTGATCGATAAGTGTCATAAAATAAACATAATCAACAGTGGATATCGCATCGTTCACTTGCCTGTCATCTTCTCTGAAGCGTGATTCTTCTTGCATCTTATACGGGAACATTTTCTACATTGTTTACACTTCATTTCTGGTGGCCATTCATTTATTTTCCACAAAACTATACTCATCCATTGCTATTTTCTCGAATGCTTCACTACCAACAACAACAAACCGTAAACGAATAGAGATATTCATCGAATGTTATATGAACAAATTCATCGAGAAATATCCATTATCAAACCGCAAAAGAATAACTTCAATTCATAACTGTAACTAGGAATGATGTATTCATTACCGTCGTCAGTATCGACGAATTTCAATGTCTACTCAAATCCATACAGAAAATCATCTACCACTTCATCCAGCAAACGTTCAATCACTCAATCACCTTCTTACTCTACTGCCAAACGCATCAGCAATACCAATAATAATGCTAATCTCGGAAGTTATATCAATAATAATACTAATTATATTGAAAATCCTGGAAAGTTTTCAAAAAATCGACGTTTCTCGCTAAAATCGACGTCTTCGTCGTTCCCACTGCCCACTCACTCGTCTCTCACAACAGCATCATCATCGCTGATGTCTTCAAATAAATTAACTGCATCAGATGCGCGTAAACTTTCTGTTCCGGCCACTGGAAGTAGAGCAGAATCGACAATACGTGATTCTGAGAAGAGCGCTGGTAAGCGGAATGTAAGTGAAACACGAAAATTTGCTGTGAACAGTAGTGCTACGGCCGCATCCGTGAATGGCTCACACTATTCACCAATACCGACCAAGTTCACTCCAGTGGATGCTAGTAAGGACAGTCAAATTGATCGAAGGAAGCAATATGCTATGAATAATACTTCATCTTTATCGCAGTCGTATTATACAGATTCATCCGACAAAAATAATTCTTCTTCATTATCAGCATTTTCTTGTGTGCCGTTTTCGTCTCCCTCTGTTGCTCCACCATCTGCTTCTGCATTATTCAGTCGAGAATTTGGAAACAGTAACAGCAGCAGTGCACGAAAACCATCAACACCGTCTTCATCAGCGTCCATATCTGATGGATTCACCCGTCAGATGGCTTCCAGAAATGAATCCATATCCTGTGCACCCACAACACCCTTACGCTACCAACAAGCACAAACACAGCAACAACCACAACCGTCATATGAATTGTCGAATTCTGGAGTACTGAATGCAACTGTATTCAATGCACAACCAGAGTTGAACGCATTAAATAATGTGAAAACTAACAGCGGTAATGTAAGGATGAACAACAACAAGAATGCAATTTCAAAGAGAACAACAGGCTTAATAGAACAACAACTATTTGTGAAACGTTTATTGCAAGCACATAGCGTTGTTGATGAAATGCTTCGTTCACGTGGTATGCAAGCTGAAGATGAACGCCTCTATTTAAGGCGCAAGCTGCAGCAGGAAAATGTTGCTGCTGATGATGATCATGAAGCAGAAACAGAAACAACTGAAACACAACATAATGTTGACGATGATAAGAGTATTAATGATCAACATACTAATAATGATGATGACTCGTCTCATTCTTGTGGCAATTTTTCGTCTTCTCGCTGTTTAGCATCATCGAGTGTTGTTCAGCATGAACAACAACAACATTCATCAGCAGCACGAAGGCGAAGTGTTTCAGGGGACTCAGATTCAGGATTGTCGTTAGATGAAGATGATTCAGAAGAGTGGATGGTGCACACGCTAGTGGTGGAAGAAGGTGACGGCCAATATGAGCGCGAGCAAAAACGAAGAAAACATAAAACAAATTGCGGCATAAAAAGTTTTACTGCTACTAGTGCTGGCGATTGTTCACGTTCGCTGTCATATAACGAGAATACGAAGAATATCACGATCGAAATCACACTCGTGAATACGGCCAACAAAGGACAGCAGCAGCAAATTGCAAGTGATTTTTCAATAATAAGTAAAATGATATCGAACGGACGAACTGCGTTGAACGTTAAATTTGAAAATAAGGCGAAACTGAAGAAGAAGAAGGAGAAAGTAGTGAAAGATTTGTCAGATAACGACAAAAAGACTGTTGTTTGGAATAAGAATCGTGGCACGTTGTTGGAAGAGAAGTCGCGAACAGATAATGATGATAACAATGTTAAAATTCAACAAAGTAAGCGAATTCAAGCAACAAAAATTTCATCGAAAACAAAATCATTGTTGAAACCAAAGCAGCAAAGAAAAGAAATTGACAGCGACAGTGAGTTCATGACTCGGCAACAGCAACCAATCGTGCAACGTACATTAAATGCGACATTGACTGATCGTCGTCGACATATAGTTCATTCAGCAGCCGAAATATCCATACAACACGTTAGTTTCTATCAGATCGCCAGTTCGCTCATCAAGCAGAAATGCATTAATGTCGAAAATTTCGTTCGGATTCATTTCCGTCTAACGCAACGTAATCCGAAATCGTTATGTGCTAGCATACACATACCACTGCTCAGATCTTTCACACGTATCGCGACGTTTGATGCTAAACTACCGACCGTGCTGACAACGAAACGGAATAATCTTAAAAAATTTCGAAGTCAAACAATTGAGATTGCTCAGTTGCAACGTCGTTCACCACAAATAGATGCGATCTTATCAGATGCGCATCAGCAGTGTGCAGCAACGTTGTTACGTAAAACGATTCCAGCGCACGTACGTAAGAATCAAGCAGTGATCAGTCGAGTTCGTATTCCAGAAATGTTCCTAAAACCATTCAACCTCTCGTCAACAATCTCCAGATGCACATTGCAACAACAAGCAACATGTTTAGACGATGACGATCAGAAAAAACTGCGTACAGCACGTTATCAATTGAAACACGTCGATTTCAGTCGTACAGTCAGTTGTAATAGTTTATTAAATGCCACTGACACAACCACTATCACTTCTTCGAACTTCGAAGAAAACACTAAGAAGTGCGCGATTAGTAAAAAACCAGAAATTGAGAAGGGAAACGAAGATGCGAAATCAGTCGTAGCCGAGGATATTGATGAGGGTGGAATTCGAAACAAATTTTCGAGAACAAAAGCAGTCGTAGCAGAAAGGCAATTGGAAACGATCAAATCTGGGAGTGATATCAACGAAGATCACTTGTATGAATCAGATAAGAATGATGATAACGAGCCACGAAAATTAAAGAGTGAAGAAATGACCATTACTAATACAACGAATTCGACGTCTCCCATTACTAAAAATTCTACAAAGAAAGATAAACTATCGAAAAACACAAAGGAATCGACAAAGATACCATGTTCAAAGAGTGTTGTGAGGATTACAAATGATGATATCATTGCCAATAACCACATGAATAATACTGATGATAATAATAACAATACTAATGATAATAGGAGTAATGAGACCAATAGTAAGATGATAAAATCATATGAAGACGGCGATTTAACGAAAGGATCGAATGAAAGTGATCGCATTGATGAGCGACGATTGCGTAGAGCGATAACTTGTATAAATAGTGATGATCTACGTAGAGCGTTTGCTCGAATGCCTAAAAATACAGCAGCAGATTGTGCAACTGAATCAGCAAACTTAGATCAAACACTGATCTACGAATTTCGTCGACGTAAGTCAATTCCAGTGCCTCAGGCGATCATTCATGCAGAACTGCCGCCTAATCTTGTTGCTTTTTCGACGCCACGCATTCTCAACGTGAAGCCGGTACGTGATTTTGTTGAGCCCCTTCCGCCAGCTAAATTCTTGAGACGTCGTACACCTGAACGTCGTCTTGTCGCCAGTACTTCTGTTGATTCAGCTACCTATAGTGATGTTTCTTCGTTGTCGAGAACACTAGGTAGAGTCAATAACAATGCGTTGGTGAAGTTGCTGTCGCAAAAAAACAACAATTTGAGTAATAAGAAGATCAAAAACCTACAAAAAGCGATCGTCATAACTGAAAATTTGATGGAAGTACCAGAATTGAGCAACAACAATAACAATTCTAAACAACCGTCAAAACCAAGATTGTTACCCATTTCTAATCATCAGTCTTCGTTGTATTCTCAACAACAACAAAATGGGAGGAGGCAATCTTCTAATGCAAAAGAGAATCCCTTCGGAGTTTCGTTAAAACGTGTCAGTCGAAAGAAACAGCAACTATCAATGAATGGAAGCAGTATCAGTAATAACACCGCAACTCGAAATTCACCAACGAAAGCAGCACTATCTAGAAAGCCGACAATTCCAAAATGGCGACAGGTTGAACGGTAATTCTTCTAAAATTTCTTTCCGCAATCTTTACACAAAAATTTTCGAATAGACCAATAATTTAGCAGCGTCATTCAATGATTATTAAATGTTCCCAACCCAAAACATTTCATTGCGTATCACTTCTCGAACGATGAGCACTCCAGTGATACAGCGGGCATGACTAATCGTTCACTGTAATCGAACAAAGTTACTGCCCTTAAAAACAATTACGCAAACTTATTATTACAATCATTTCTCGAAGTCTGTTCATTCATTGCAATTAAATTGCCTTCTTATGTGTGTCTACAAGAATACGAGTCTATTTATGCGAGTATTTCTTCGTTCGATTTTGTTTCAGATCGGATGAGAAAGGTCAAACTAACAATCGAATTGAAAATGCTTCCAGTGCGATGCACAACTAACAAAGACAAACTACTAATTGTAAGTAGCAGAAAGTAATTTTTTTTTTTTGATTTCACTCTTCGATGGCGATTCCGAATATCACATCAGTCAGACTACTCAGCGATTCGTGGACTCATAGCTGAGCGAATGAGCGACCACGAACCAGAATGTATTAGTGTTGTGCGGGAACGGGGACAGTCCCCGAAAATGGCTGCGGCTCGAAAATGATCGGGGACGGGGAGAAAACTCAATCTCATCCCTGTCCCCGTCTCCGACTCCCCGAAATTCCCCGAAGATGTAACTTTCGAATTAGAGTCACCAGGACCTTGAAAACATCGTTTTTTTTTGTTGATGGAAATGCATTCAAATAAGTGATCTTTAGGCTGGGAAAGCGATAACTGCGAAGGAACAATGCAATTCTATCTACAATATTTTATTCAAATATTAACAATGAAAAGAATGATAAAAATAGCAATAAAACAGCACCGATGTTAACAATAAAACTATATTGGATAGTCATTAGTGTCACGTGCAGCTTTGTTCCATCGACTTTCTCGAAGTCAAATGTTTTGCCTTGATTTATGATAAATACAATGTCGATCACTAAGCTTGTAATGAATCGACAATACGAATTGACGATTGATGATTGACGACTCGAGGAATGACAAAATATTGTTGATGGGTTGACGGGTTGATGACCTGGAATAGTTACCCAATTAGTGTACAGGAATCGTTTGACGCTAATCAGCGTCTCGCTATAATTTGGTGCTAATTAGCACTAGGTAACGATTTGGTACTGGTTAGTACCCAGGTACTTTTGGACGCTCGTTAGCGTCCGATGAACGATGAGCGTAGGGAGGATGAACCTCGAAATGAGAATGACGATGCGAATGACTTAGTGCCTTTTTGCCGTTTCTTTTATAGAGTGTGATTTTGGACGTTCCACTCCTTTCTCATGGTAAATGTTTTGTCTTCGATCCCTTTCTTAATGGCATTTTTATCAACTCCGTTGATCTCAGTGGTTATCGGCTTCTTGTATCTTTCGACTTAGGATGTTTCTATTTTTGCTCTGAGATTTCTTTCTTCGATGGAACGCAAATAAAATTATGCAATTGTACCTAATTCGCTGCTACGGCGACACAGCTATCAAAATGGAAGAAGGGTCATACGTTGATTTCTCACTCACTCATAAGATTGTCTACTTCGGTTAATTACTCTCTAATCTTTTCCGAGATTGTTCGCCACAACTTCAGATGATAAGGTTCTCTTGGGAAAAGGAAGTGTTTTGGAAGGTAAGCTGCTTGCATTAGGTGATCATAAGTGATACACTTATAAAATGGACAATGCTAGTACCCATAAATGCATTATTATTCACTAACTTGTGAATGGAGTGAAACTGTTAATTAATGCTCAGAAAGTCCTTGTCGCGACTCATAACAACGTCTTAACGATAGCACTAATGAACGTCTCTAAATTCAATTCTTTTTCCGGAGAATTTCGGGGAGCGTCGACTGCAGAAGTCGGGGACATTCCGGAAGCGGGGACAGTCCCCGAAAATGGCCGCGGCTCCAAAAACGTCGGGGACGAAGATTCAGGGTCAACTAGAATGTACACCAAATTCAAATGATCTTTTGGATGCCAATAATTGCGAAGCTTTGAAAAACTTCACCCACAACAATTTAATGTTTCTTTACTCAGCAATTACAATAACACATTGCTGTTATCACCAATATCATGATGTTCTTTCGTCAACACCCTGCTTTCCACAACGACAATATTGGTGATAATAATAGTAATATTGATGACAATAATAATATTAAGGATAGAAATAAATTTCTCAACTTAGAAATGATACTCGTAATTCATAAAATAGCAATGACGAAGAGGCCAAAATTCAGTCAACAGATGTATGTTAGAATTATGAGTGGATGCTTAAATATTTTTCAATGAAAAAATGTCGTTCAGAATATTCATGAATACGGATGAATATGTGAGTGTGTTCTCAACAAAAACTTTCGAATTAACGGCAGCGGTACGACTTGTATTCGAAGCGTTCGATTTATCGATGTACTGATTTCTTCATTTCGTCCGAATATTCTTCGAAGTACTTCATTTCTTAATACAACGACAATTTAAATGTGAAATTTCATTGACAACGATCGATTCCACTGAATCCCCCAAATACAACATGTTTGGTGCACGTATTTTTCCTAACTTCCATTGTCCCGATTGGAAGTCAAAAACATAGACGATTGTTTCAGAACTTTCGCTGATATCAAAAACTTTCAACTAACATCGGTCGACCTTCTGCCATATAGCAACAGTCCCATCAAAAATTGTGAACCAAAGTACTGTGCCGGGAAAGGTCGATTTTTCATCGAATTAGAAAAGATGTGCTACCAAACAGTCGGGTATTATGCCGTCTGCGATTCCATAGTGTTGCTCTCGTTGTGCTCATATCTAGTGCGTGCTGCATTAAACTATTAAAGTTCATTTTCGTTTAATTTCAACATACATACCAGTCTGATCTTCAATGTTGCAGCCTTGTAAGAGCGTATTTTTAGACTATGCAACTATTTGTTGGAATCACTGCGACAGTGCAGCCGTCTTCATATGTAATAAAATTTATGAAATATTCTCAAGTAATCAATAAATTTCGTTGAAAATAACGTCGTTCAACTACAAATCACATTTTATTCATTGATGATAAAAATTGATTGATAAAATAATCAAACAAACGAACAAGTAAATAAATAATAACCTCCAGAACATTTTAACAACACATCAACAAAGACAAAAATTTAAAAAAAAACACAAATCGCGACAGTAGTGCAGTAAGAGTATGAATAGTTAACAAAACTATTCAAACACTTGGAACACAAAATCATAATGTGATAATGAAATTGATTATGGTAACAACGATATCAATCAGAGTAACAGTAAATATAATAATAATAATAATAATAATAACGACCACCTATGTGCGTAAAAGAAAGCACTTCTGGAAAAACAAAACGCGATGATATAATTACTCAAATCGTCCATTCCTCAGCTAGCAACAATCTACATATTTTAAATCACTGAAGTGAAAATTTTTTAAAGGATTTCTTTGAAATACTGAAACAATGAAATGATTTTCTGTACGTTCGTCTGCCTGTTTCCCGAGCCAATCAAACCAATTCATTAGGTTTGATTCAAATGAACAAGTATGGTTTACTGGATGAATCATCCGAAAACGGACAACTTACTCAAAACAGAAGTTCCCCTCCACCCAAACATCCAAAGCGAACAACAGATTGATCAGTTGAGGTAAACATCAAACAATATGAACGAAACGGACATGAGATGAGCGTCTGTCGAATGCCGAACGATGAAAGAAACGTCAAATTACAAACAAATTTGAAATGATAACGAAGAAATAGATTTCCTCCCGAAAATTGCAAGATGCTATATCACTTCGCGTAAGTCACTAACAACCATATTTTGAAAAAAATTATATAGCCTTTTGAAGTCAAAATCAAAAATTATATATCAAGTTTTTACAAAAACTTCTTGAAAAATCAAAATCTCAACGAAATTCTACTGACATATTTCGGATACAGGTGGGAGAGCTTATAAATTTCTCTACCAACATCTACAAGAACGGCACTCGAAATTTCCTTCTCCATAATAAAATAAGACGGAATTACAATAAAAATAAGAAATGAAACAAAACAAAATGAAAAAATGATTTCTAAAAGGCACTTTCAACGGCGATTTATTTGGACTTCTTCGTTGTTGTTACTTCCTGATCGTATTTGCTCTTACTTTGGTACCATAAGGCAAATGGGATTACAGTTAGAACTGAAACGAGTACAACGAATACCAACCATACACCAAGTTTAGCGGAAAATTTACGCTCGTAGTCCTTTTGTCGATAAATATAACCTGAAAATGAACGAATGAAATGATTTACATATGATCAGTGAAGATGAGATGAGAAAGTTGAGGAGAGCAACAATAAAACAACTAAAACCGATGAACAATTTCTGAGTGCGATCAACGAACCCTCTCCCGGTGCTGAAGTATAACCGATTCGGATCTCTTTTGCATTCTCAGATGGATAATAGGTGATTTGAGCTGCTGTATAGTTGAAAGCACCGACTGCACGTGGTCTTACAACGACTGAATGTGAAACATTCTGCCCAGGTGCAATACGTTCCCATCGGACCTACAATAAATTCGTGACCACTAGTCGTACCATTCGAAAAGAATCTGTCATATTCATCATGGATACATACTACTACAATAACGAAGCATCAGTTTTTTTATTTCAAAAATGGAGCAGTTACACAATTTATTTGGCTGAAATCTTGAACCACCGGACATCTGTTTCCTCTCGCAGTGATCTCAGCAGAAAATTGAAACTAAAAGATTATCAGAATCAGATAAACGAGATGAAAACCTGTAATAATCCGCGTATTATTTCGAATGCTTGCGTTGGGAATGCATCCCGATCATCCAAGCTTACTTTGACGGCTGTCTGCAATTTTCAAAAATTACCACCATACCGTTTTCACAGTCGTCGAAGGTCGTGACTCCTGTCAAAATTGTAGTCGAAGTCTTAAATCACCGAGCAACGCTCGAAGTTCAATTCATGCGAAGATCGAAAGCCTAACCTATTTCATTTTGGATCTTAGTTTAAGCTCTTTGATGATTCAGTGGATATATGAATTATGGTAATGCATACCTGAAGGTATAGGGTATATCTCGAAAGGAAAAGAATGCGTTCACACAAGGAACATGTGTACAAAAAATTTAATAAATTACCTTGTCCCCAATATTATACAGTCGATAATCCATAACATAGTCCATTCCTTCGACAGCATACTGCGATAACGAAAACTTTGAACCTACGATTATGGCTGAATTGCGTTGAACAACTTTTTCTGTTTCATCCCCGTAAACCAAACATCCTAATATCGCTAGCAAAAACAAATTATATTTCATCGTTGCAGTTCGAATCCCTAAAATTATATGATCTTAATCAATGAATATTCTCGGCCATAACACATCATTTGATGATCAAAACCACGACGATAATCATTTTCATCCATCAAACAGAATTTTGAAATTAAATTCATATACGAGTAGCTCACGTGAATTGATCTATTCTATTCATTCTCACTCATTTTGGTGTCAAAAAATAAAGTTTCTGAAGACTAATCAAATAATGTTTTATAAAGAAGAAGATTACGAAGAGATCACGCTTTTCTTCAAGATATTCATTCAGAAGCAATCTTTCTTAATGAAAACAAGGCAGCTTTTAAAACTCAGTCGTAAGAGCCAGACTTATACACAAGTTTTTGAAGGCTATTCGAAGAGGTTCGAAGTAAAAAATAAACCTCAGCTTCAGTTGGGAGAAATCATCAACCAGGAACCACCCCTGCATTAATCCCCAACTCAGGGTAAATTTCAACCTCAGCCGTACAAGATCAACTCGTACGGTGGAGTTATAGCAGCTGCCGAAAATGAGCTCTTTGAAATAACGTTTAATAAACTAAGCACATACACGAAATTCGCACAATCGACTGCATAGCTTAGGCTATGAAATACGAACGAATGAATTAAGAAAGTGTAAATTTATCATAATATCAAGAAAATAAACAATAGCAACCAAATTAACCACGGACCGCCGTTTAATCAACTTTGGACACGCGGCATAAACATACTGCAAATAGACGATTTTTTTCGGCTGGCGACAAATTTCTGATACCACAACAAATCAGCTTTTGGTCGCAAGTTGCCAAACATGATTTAACCGTTCTGACCAACGCAAATATACTCAACTATATAGCGGATCTGAGAGTGCGGTACGAGAAATTCAAAAATGAATTAAAGAAAAGACCCCACAAACATCACCTGAGAATCTTTTCTGAAAGACCGACAATGCACGTCACCGATTGGAAATAGCTTGGTTAGTGCCACTCAAAATTTGCTCGGTAGTGCACTGAAGAACACGGTACGAACGAGCAGTGCGACTACGATATGCATTTTTCTGCTAGTCGTCATCGTAGACGTAAAAAGTCAACACCAACTGTTTTTTTCGGTAACTAGCACTTCATGTTCGCCTGGTAAGGGTATGAGTTCATGAAGCATTGTCATCTCCTGCGTGAAAGTTTCGAAATAGTCGAAACTTGCAATGGATTATGACAGTTTTCATCGAATGGGGTCTGCATTTGCATATTTTTTATGAGGATGCGCTTAAAATTTTATTTAAGAGCGCAAAATTTGTTACGATAGAGATGTGTTGTGTGCACAACTTTGTCGTCACAGGTTTTGGATCATTTCGTAATTCATCATTTTGTCGTTCAAACTCACTCTTCGGTAACCTCACTTCTTACTTTGTGACTGAAGAATTGTGTCGTATTCAAAAGTGGCGTCATAGATTTTGTTGATCAACGAATCGAAGGCTCACTTGTTAGGTTATGTAGTTAGGTTTTCTTTAAAATACGCTTATGCTGATCAGGCTTAATCATCTCATCTGATTCTGGAAGCCTTTAAATAATTCATTTTCTGCGGTTTCATTTCTCATTTGAACTTATCAAAGTTTACAACTAGTAATTGCTCTAAGTTTGGTTAGCATTGTGATGACTGTTCGAAATATTATCAGATATCGAAAATTTGTGAACGAAACCATGAAACGGTCATTAATCACGTTATTGGTTTGCTGGTCGAATTATTTGCTTGTGTTGGCGCAAGACTATAAGCCAGGCGGCTCTGTGCCATCGGCCGCAGATAAACTCTCAGAAGCCGTTGAAGGAACAAGTGTGAGCGAAACGCGCGGCTATTATCGACGAGAACATTCACTTGTGAGGCCATATCAAGGTACATCATTCAACTATTTGTTCTTATTCGGAAGTTATTTCGTAGTCGATATTGTTAGAAATGAGCATATTGTCATGAAGTGATATAACACCGCATCATTTCGTTATGCAGATTTTGATTTTGCACGCAGTTTCTCGTGGAACTTTCGAAACTAAATTCATCGTGAAGCGAGCATGAGCGAAATTCGAAACCCAGTTCTCAAGCGGAGTCAGTGAAGTTTTCCATCAGTTTCCGACCTTTTCAAGATCAGGTAAATCATAATCAGGGTGCAGTAGCGCCATCGAGAGTTTCTGTATGCTTATGGAATCACATGACCTTTCTCATTTTGAGCACTAATTTATTTTGAGGTGCTGGCATGATTATTCCGTATTGGGATATCGTCGGCTCAACGATGATCACCGATCAATACATTCGTTTGACACCTGATCAACAAAGTCGACAAGGGGGTCTTTGGAATTCAATGGTCAGCTTTTTTTCATTCCTTATTATATTGTGTTATTATTATTGTTACTGTTATTATTATGATTTTTATTTTCTTACTCTGTCGGAGAATGATTTTTCCTTATTCTCTTAACACTGAAAAATTACCAGTATATCATCCAACTGTGATGAAATTAGTCGCAGATTCATGTGTTTTACATTATTATGAAAGTGGATGAGTCAAAAAATTTTCTTGATTTAACTTAATTTCTTCTTAATTCGATCGTTATTCGATTCAGAACACCATCAGATGATAATAAGATGTTATGTAATTTGGAAATTCAGCCGGTGTGGTCTCATGACTGGGAATTGCACGTAAATTTCAAAGTGCATGGTTCGACTAGAGATTTGTTCGGTGATGGCTTGGCGATCTGGTATGTGCAAGATCGTTTGACACTCGGTAATGTGTTCGGCTCGAAAGATCAATTCCGAGGCTTGGCGATTTTTCTGGATACGTACAGCAACCATAATGGACCTCATTCGGTCAGTAAATTTAGAAGCAAGATGACTGAGTGAATGAATGAAAAATTCTCATCATACACCATTCTGAAGCTTTTAAATTTTCATCTCCATGTCAGACTGATTTTCATGTGAAGAATTTCAGCACAGTCATCCGTATATCTCAGCGATGGTGAATAATGGTAGTCTTCATTATGATCACGATATGGATGGTACTCATACACAACTGGGCGGTGAACATGTGGGATGCGAAAGAAAATTTCGGAATAAAGATGAAGACACTCAAGTGTTAGTGCGTTATGTTGGTGAGACGCTTTCGGTAGGTTGTTTTTGATGTTATCGTTGTTGTTATATTAGCGTTACTGTTGAGAATTCACATGAAAAATTCCTGCTCATGAAAGTTTTGCATTGCAGTTCAACGGAAATGGTTTCAAAAAATGAGCTCATTCGTAGTTATCGTAAAACTAGGATGTGATGGGTACGTACACATTACACAGACAGTTTCAAATTTCTGTTTATTATCATCAAAATTGTAGGTATTCACTGATATCTCTGGTGCGGGTGTTTGGAAACAATGTATGAGCGTAAATGGTGTGCATTTACCAACTGGTTATTATTTTGGTATGTCGGCGGCCACAGGCGATCTTTCTGGTATGCATTCGTTGTCATTTCAAGGAATATCACAAAGGAAATATGTCTGTTCTTATCTTCATTACATTCTCTGACAAAAATGGCCATATCGATTGATCAGTGTTTGTATGTTGTAGATAATCACGATATATTGATGGTGAAAATGTACGAACAAGAGTTTGCGCGTGTCGAAAAAGAGGGCGATGTAAATCGCCGAAATATTGAGCCGGCTGCAGAATACGCCGCATCACCAAGGGATCACATTGATGCACCGCGTCCCTCGAAACTGGGCTGGTTCGGTACAATAATTCTACTCATAATTGGTATTGTTGTAGTGGTGGCCGTGCTTGGCTTCGGTATTGTTTTCTTGCAAAAGCGTCAAGAACGTACGAGAAAACGGTTTTATTAAGCTGAATCGAACACTGTGAAATGATCAAGTTCGGGTCAAGTCTTGAAACATTATTTCATACTGTTCCGTTTCGTTACATCAGTCCATCCGTCAATCCATCAATCAATCAATTAATGATGTTCAGTCACAACAAACAAAATTTTATCGTGTTGATGATCGAACAATATTAATCTGCATTATTATTCATAAATGTTATCATCAAGCGATCACCTCTTTCTTGTGCTTCGTATGTATCATAAGGCATATGATGGTATGTCAGAACACTGCTCATCATCACTTTTCTTACATTTTATTTTCAATTTGTTTACCATTTCGAACATAATTTAGAAACAAAGACTTTGTTCACTGTTGTTTAATAAGAAACTTGTATATTTATTCGATCCTCTACGTCCAGCTACCTATAAAAGGAATCAATCTCATCCCATTCCAGGAACAGAGTAAAGTTTGTTTGCAAACGTTGATTTTTTTTAGCTTGTTTCCGGTTGAATTCATTTGTTTTTTGGTTCTTTTCGTTAATTTGTTTGTTTGTTTACTTGTTTCTTATGTTGTTATTTGATTTTTGATTTTAATTTGATGTTTTCTTCCGATTGTGGGGATTTTTAACGAGAGTTTTATAGAGGTTTTGAGAGTTCAAAGGCTTCCTTCGAGCGTTGGTCATTGCTGTTCTTATGTTTTTTAATGCTGATGTTGACAATATTGAAATGAATGTTTTGGTTGAGCTAATATCATCATTATTATTGTTATTGTTGCCGTCGGCCACCGGTTTATTACTGAAGATTTTCATCTCCATATATTGATTAGCATTCTTTATATTCGTATATCCCAAAACGATTGACTGATGAAGTCAGTTCGGCATTTTCGATTATTGCAATCGTTTTGATGAGTGAACAGTCACATTTCAATTGCCAGTTGTGGCAACTTCGTGAGAATCAATTATCGCTGATTCGTTATTAGTGTTATTAATATTATTGCTGTTATTTGGAATCGTTTTGTTATCGCCATGCTCATCTTATCTGAATGTTTTGGGAAGAAAGTTATTGTTTAGTTTTGTTAAGTGGGATGTATGAAACAGTCCACAATCCTAGTAGCGATTATAATCTCGTGTTTCTAGCGCAATGTAGTAAATGTGATCTTATTAAGCACATAGTCATTCGTCGATTTCGCTATGTGTAGATCTGCAAACGCAGTGTTTTGATGACTGAAAACATTGAATCATCAGTGTACTTAAATGAACTCAGTGAAAATGCTTCATCTGTTCATTGCTTTGATTTTATTCTGTTAATTTGTATGACCGAATAATTCGACTTCATTTTAATAACGTTCTGTTGAAGTTCAAAATTTATTTATTGATCGTTCTGTCTTGTTTATGCGGTTCGGTTTATTTTTATCAGTTGTTACGATTATCATCATTACTATCACTATGTGCCTACAAAAATTTTATTGATTTGTAATTCTTATAATGTTATTCGTAAATTTTCTATTCATACGTATTTGTGTTTGTTTGTTATTTCGTTTGATGAATTGTTTCATCAAAATCGTCACTTATTGATGTAAGTCATTGATGAACGAATCTTAAAATGATTTTATTCGGTCAAATTCAACGCTTTTTTTCTTTCTATTGTGTGCAATATACTAACTGGGTATTTTGGTATATTTTTTTGATTTGATAATGCTGTTACTGCAAGCAAGGATTCTATACGTTACTTTAATTCATATTTATTTGTTATTTCTTTCTATTTGTTATAATCTTCGTTTTTTGTCACACCTATCACTTGCCACCATCAGTGTTCTTTAAAATTAATTTGAATTGTTATTGAAAAGATTTAATGAATAAATTCCATTTATAAAAGTAACTAATAACAGCACTAACAATGGTAATGGTAGAGAATACTTTCAATTGCAGGAAAACTAATTTCATGAGGACGGTAATTATGATTTTGAATATTGTGACTGTTTTGCGAATTTTAAGTTTTAAGGTTGAGTGATTATTCTGCGGATTTTGTGAGGATGTGAACAAACGTTTGTAAGCGTAAAAATAGGAAATGAGCTAATATCACGGCAATGTTTGAATGTGAAATAATTCATGCTTAAAAATAGAAGATAACGCGTGGAGCCTCATGGCCTTTCAACCAAGTTCATGCTCTCTTCAGATGACAGTTTGTGGTATAATCAACTGCTAGAATAATTCTTGTGCGGCGTCAGCCGAACTCTGAAAGGAAACGAAACAACGGGAGAAATTGTTTGAGAAATCAGCCGTCTGATATGAGGAGTACTAGAAGAATTGAGTTAATGGTTAGTGGCGTGTTAAGCGCGTAACGTTGGTATGTTTGAATGATAGTTGCTCGTGTGGTGTCTATGCCTCATTGCAGTAATGTGATGCCATGCTTCGAGCCATTTGTGCATCAAGTAGTCCCTCATCTCGCCTCATTGATAGCACGACATTAGAAAACATCCATAAATCTATCCATCTTCTTAACCAAATATGCATACGTTCATTTGTTCATTCGTTCGTTCTTTACTCGAATAAGCAGCAACACAACTCGTCAAACTACTCGCATAAATGTCCACCGTGCATTACGCTATTGCTGCTGCTGCTGCTTCTGCCTCGTGGAAAGCATCAACGAGAAAATATGCAGAAAGCAGCATATGAAATGTATCATAAAACGTACATTCATCCAGCTATCTAAAATATAAACACATTATTCTATATGTTCTTCCTCATACGTTTGCTCAGATACGTCCTTTTCTGTCTTCTTAGAGCAAATTCTAAATGTGATTCGTACATATTGAAGCGCTCTCGAATCTTCAAATCAGCACACATCCTTCCATTTACTTATCTCATGTAAATAAGTTTATATCTTCTTTACTAACACATATCTTCTCTGCGATTCGGATTATTTTATTGTGAGTTTCATTATTTCATTCCTATCTCTATGTTATTATTATCGTTATTCTTCTTCATATATCATTTTTATTGTCATTATTATCATATTCTCTCTGCATATTCTTTCGGCATACTATTATTATTATTTATTATTGCTTATTATTATTATTCATTATTATTATTTATTATTATTAATATTATTATTTATTATTATTATTTATTATTATTGTTTATTATTATTATTTATTATTAATATTATTATTGTTATTTATTATTATTTATTATTATTATTTATTATTTATTTATTATTATTATTATCATTATTATCATTATTATTATTGTTTATTATTATTATTATTATTATTATTATTATTATTATTATTATTATAAATTATTATTATTATTATCGTTGCTTTTGTTAGTGCTTTTATTGCTATCAGTGTTATTATTGTCATTATTTTTTCTTTCATAGGGGAACATTTGACCGTACGATTGATCAGTCGAGTTTTGACTAATAAATGACAATCACATGCTGATTTTTGTGGAGCAGCATGATTGTTTTTCGAAAATATAGAGAGTTCTAAAACTTAGAACCAGTTTTAGCAGCTGACCAACCTGTCAGCCGACTGAACAAAGTAAGTGTCTCCGAGTGGCATTCAGAAATTAATATCCTCGTTTTCTTGGCAGCTGAAGTATATGAAAGTTTCAAATGTAAACGACTTACGGTGTAACTACGTAATTATACAAACACACGTATTTACCAAGTGAAATGCTATTTTCTCAGGAAGTGAAAATGAAGAAGTAAGTAGTATGATATGATTCCACACTACACACACAAACACATACGACCACCATTCACTTATCATTCGGTTATTGCATAGTGATTTGCTTATCTGACATGAGTACATCATCAATGTAACTAGTATTACTGCTCGAATATTTTTATGATATTTTTATGCTCAGATATTATCTCACTTCTACCTCATCGAATTTTTAGTTGCTCACATAAACTTGATCAGTAATTGGTAGCAGTTCACCTCCGATAATGAACACTCATCGTATTTAGTTGTTTCCATTTAGTTGCTTTTTTCAGCTTTTTGTAATCTTATACTTTTATTTTCCTGTATTGCATGTTGATCTGTGATGTGAACATTTAATGAGAAACAGGTTCAACAAGTCAATCAAAAGAAGGTTGACTCGTTTAAGCCAAACAGTTTTCCGGTTCTACCCATTAAATGAACCACGTGCAGTTGTATGCATGCATCGCTTATTGGTAGCACTTTGGGAATGTTCTGGGTGCGTTATGTTCCGATTTTGGAAATAAACGCATATTGCAACTAGAAGATGACTTTGCTTGATCCGCATTCATCCTAAACGGTGAGCGGTCGCTTCGTTCGTTGACTTAACGTTTTTGCGAAATATCATTTGTTTGAAACGACGTGATTTTGAGTTTGTGTGTTCGGTAGAATGAATTAAATCTCATTTTAATCCTAACCACCACAGTTCAATTCTTGGTGATGTCTATCTAGCTAATTGAATGAGCATTATATGGAAATTTGCGATGATAATTTTCGTACGGTCTATCACAATGATTTATTGGCACTTTACACGTTCAACAAATTGGCTCTTAGATCATAAAGAAACGAATTTTCGATGTAATTTAAACGAACACCTTTTAGTGGTTGATGGTAACTGGCTGGTGCGATTGTTCGGTATTGTTTGCTGATGGATGTATCCAGCACATACATAGTCAACAAAGAGGCAAATTGAAAACATTTCCTTCTGAAACGAACACAGGTTCTCCATTCATTGGTGGTCGTTCATTGATTTATGAGATGGTGGATGACCAAGGAAAAATGCAAAGGCCAAGCACTTGCCAACTAAACAACTATCTCGCTTACGTTCCAATCAACTCAGCAATTTATTCACATCTTTTAACCAAACAAAAAAACTATTCTAATGACGCAATTTAATTCTCAACATCCAGATAGCAGTCAAATATTTCAATGCTGTCAACATTCTGAGGTATCATCCTGTAGTGAGTAGTCTTATTCGTCCATCGCAAAAGACCTATTTAGCCAAACAACATGCTTGCATACAACTATCACACCCATTTTACCATTTATTCGTGTGCTCCTAGGTGCATAAATGCACACACTAAACATATATGATGTTTGATTAAAAAATAGAAATTTAGTGGTGACTATTAGAAGTCTCGGTTAGGGATGTTATCTGAAACAACGGTGCGAAGTGGTGTTTACATGGGATACCGGCATCTTCACTTTTGAATGTTGATCCAGATTCCGGGATTTATGTTTTGAAAAATCTCACGATTTCTGGATTTGGTGGAACAGTTTTTTTATAAAATTTTGGTAATATACTTGACTTGAATTGCACCTCAATCATTTCGAATTCATTTATATTCAGTAAAATTTGTTGTTTACTATCCGAGTTGCGATAGCTGAATGAATCATTATATAGCAGCACTACCTCGGCTTTCGTTTTTCAGAGAGCAGTGTGCAAAAACATAGTAGTATCGCCACTCTGCTTTCGTCTTTCGTGATCATCTTCCGTTTATGATCAATTTTTAATCGCGGGATCATCTCGGCATTGAGAAACAATCGCAGGATTGAAAAGTGATCGGCATTTTGCGAACTTGTGTGGTGCTACGCAAATGAATGACACAAGCGCACGTTCTCTCTCATCTGAAGAGTGAAGCTGAATGAATGCATGAAAGAGTGCGCTATTCATTAGAGATGGTGTTATGCGGTATTCTTCATATTGCTTGTCAGTATGTGTACATGAGTGGTTCGTATGCGTGTTCATATAAAGATAACAACAGCAGTAAAAAGCATTCTCAGTTAATATCATCTACTTCAATCCAATTATAGTAATCACAGAAGGTATTAGAAACAAACCCTAACAGCACTGCCGAGAAACAGCAAAGTTTCAATTATCAGTTGTTGCCGGAATATTCTCGAATAAGCGAAGAGAATCGTCAATCATTCCTTGCGTTACTGCCTCTTGAGCTGCAGCTACGGGCACAACCGTAGACATAGGTGTATTTTAATCTCGCTCGAATCAGGCTCGAGTCTAAGCTGAGGTTTGTTTTTAGTTTAATGGTTAGGCTTAAGCTAACAACAGTCTGAAATACATCGTGTATGTTACTGCATTCTTACAAAGCTTAAAGATTGCCTTGTTGAGCTGTGAAACAGTTTCAACAATTCATGCATCATCATGAGCATGCCCAAACTCTGCGTAGATGAAAATTATTTAAATTTGTTTGTTTCCTTTCAACTTATTGATTTCTTTTCTTATGCACTCGAAAGTACGATGTTTGCGTGTGCTTCAATAAAATGTTACTCTTATCAATAATATTTATTTCTTATCTATCTATTCACATTAACATATCATAAGCATGTACATAAAAGCGAGCAACAATGCCATACTAAAAACAGGATGATACAAAACAATCTCTTCTTTTCCATCTTCATTCACTCCTGTTTCACTTTCAGAAGGTAAGATGATCTAAATGAAGATTTTGTCACTCCCTCAACGATTTACCAATCTTTACTATCCATTCCCCATCGTTGCATGCATAGAAGCATGATCAGATATTATAAGAATATTTCACTGAGGCATCATCGTTTCTCCTAGATACCACTATAGACACCTACCTGTCCATGCATTCCACATCCATCAACTCAACCACTCAGCAAGCAAACTTTTCATACTACAACTACTCAGCACACATTCCATCCGTCCGTTCGTTCATTTCTTCATACTTCACCACCCACTCATACGCCATATTCGATTCAGCCAAATCACCGCGAGCACCAATTTTTATTTGTATTCTCATTCCCTTTTCGAATGTCAGCAAAGGCACATCTTGTGCGCAACTTAAATTCAATTTGTTTCCCTCTGTCAATTACTCACTCTTCGTACCTCATCATTTTTTCACCATCGATTCCTCTTCACATCTGTGCCGTCGCCTGCCTTCTTATCATCATTCTTATCATCAGCAACAATTTTATAAGCCAGTCAATTCTCATCAACAAACAAACCAATTTTTCGTGTCGCTTCTGTATCAACACTTAAAAGCGATCAATTGTTCATTAACTTTTGCCAATAATTATCACACTGTGTAATAAGCTTGTGATAATAAGTTTCTTCGATTATTTTGATCAGTGAATGACTTCCCGTCTCATTTAATTTTATCACATCCAGTGCTCTTTATCATCAGTGTGCACAAAAGCAGCATTTGATTAATTCGATTTTGGTTTTATTCTGTGCACAAAATTTCAGTTTCGGTGCCGATTAGTGCTGCTTTCTGTGGTTCGTCCAATTGATTTGAATGCCTTGGGGAATGACTCTACGAAATGATGCAAGCTTTTCACTGACTCACTCGATCGTGCTTCTCATTTCATATATAGATATCATCTTCATCACCTCCGTCCGTGTGTTAACGTTTCTTCACGAGTCTCACCAAATATTCACATCGATTCCTTTTCAGAATTTGCCATTCTTTACCTTTTTTTATGTTCGATATTTAGATGCAGCATCTGAAAGGGCTCATCCAATCCGATTGAAATTCTTAGCCCCGTCCGATCGAATTAGAATGCGGCCTAGATATGGGCTCACTCTTAACCCTAAGCTAACGCTTAAGCTTATAAAAAACGAAAATACACCTATGTTTATGGCTACATACGTCCAACGTTTACAGATCGCAAACTATGATGATATGGCAGTTAGAATGTTTAATTAATGCAGCATGCCTTTTACATAAGACCTGAAAATTAAAATGTATTTGAACTTAACGCGGTGCTCGTTGACGTGAAAGTGTTGAATAGGTCTTATTGTTACGGTTGTTTTCGTATTTTTATTGCTGTTATAGGTCGTAACAATATTACTAGCATTCCGGCAACTTATCAAAAATTTCGTCTATTCCGTGTGAATATTGCAAGTTCGTATTTTGTGCAACTATAGGTACTTGGATAGTCTTGACTGCTATCTGTTCGGATGATGTTTTGTTGGAATCACCTTCTTGTACACCGTATTGGCTGCAGTAGAGTTTATCGGATTATCAAGCAACTTTCTATCGTTAAATTTTGAAAAAATACATTTTTTCAGCTCACGTCAGCTCGTTTTTGTTTGTCAATCGTTTATAGTTGTTCTAAGCAATGAGGGAATAATCGATCGAAATTTCAGATACGCTTGAATCTATTCATTATCGTTTTTATCTGCTGCGATAAGTCAAGAACCTAGGTCTGCAATTTGTTCGCATTATTCCATTATCCTATACAAGCAACAGTAAGGCGAGGCAGTGTATTTAGATTGTTTGGTCACCGGTTAGTTGGCCAGTAACGGCAAATCAGAAACACTGATGCTGCTCAATGACTCAGAGTCAAGCTATGAGAACACTGATCAGTTGCTGACAAATCATATGAATTTTATGATCATATCATTACCATCAACTTCATATCATCATAATGAAGAGGATGATACTGCTGATAAAAGTATGACCGCAGCTCCACAGTACGATTGTTCTCCTCAGTTAGTTCCCTTCACAAATACCGATAGAGCAGAAATGAATCGACGGCAAATAATCAGCCGCTTCGCTTTCCGAAAGACTCATGCTAAGAATCGCAGTCATTGTTCAACATTGTCTTGTTTTTCTTCCCCTTCCTTGACAACGTTAAATGCTTGTCAACGACAATGTTCAACTCAGCATAATTATCACCGAGAAATCTTCTCAATGAAATTCACAAGTTATTTCTTACTGCTTTGCACGCTAATATTCTGCTTCACAACGGGTTCCGATGCGTTCACAAAACGAATGAGTAGTGCGTGTGAGATGAACAAAGATTGTAATAAATACACTTGTGATGTAGGTTGGTGCAGTTACTATTCCTTTTGATATCAATTCATGAGATATCGTTTCTCTAGCTGTTAGCTTATATTCGGTAACTTTGAACATCAAAAAATGAGCAAATCTCGGCTCTGATTCTTTGAAAATAAATGAGTCGATCAATTTACCATAAACAGAGATCATTTCACATCTGGTTTCTCCTGTGTGTTTTGCAGAAAACAAATTTCACTCACCGAAGGATTACTTTCGAAAGCCAGGTCGATCAATTTTTACGTTACCATGTAAATGTCAATCCGATTGGAAGGCGCATTTCTGCCGCAATTCAGGACGCTATCGTTTGACACCAATCGGAAAAGAGGATACCTTGCCTAGCATTTGCATATGCAGGTCAGTTTACGAGCAAATTCTGAGCATTCCAATTAATTCATCTAGTTTGCTAATTTCGGGAATGTTTAAAAAATTTCGTATATTTCCATAACATGGCGAGGTTTGTTGTGTTGATGAAAATTTTTGTTATCTATTGTGCAAAAATTGCGCTTTCATATATTCATAGGTGAAGTCTACACTAATCGGATAAGTTATTCCGTTTGTCGAAATAAATTTTTCCTCTGAACGGACAGATCTCATGAAGCAGGTTCTACTGAATCTTGGATCAGTATGGAATTCTTAATTTTAATTTGCAGGCAATTCAGTGACGGTGGTGGTAGCTGTCAGCAGTTTATGACACAATGCTTTTCAAGTCCGAAACCGGATGAACCGTGAGCGTTTTCCTTTGTTGTGTATGTGTTTGAACGACAATTACAAAGCTGTTAGAGGCCGTAGGAAAGTATGAAAACTGGAGAATGTTTGCAAGAAATCTGTAGAAGAACGATTTGAAGGGATGAATATAATCATAAGTTTGATCTTATTCATCTAATAAAACCACAGAAAGCAAACTTCATATTCTGCATTTGAATTTGCATAATTCACACGCCTGTTCGTTTCAAACTGAGCCTTAATCAGCCAGCACTCCAAAATAACCAAACTGCCACATTATGGTCCTCATACTAGCCTTCAACATATGATTTGTTGAGCTTGTCATTTAAATTTAAAAAAAGATATTTCATAATGAGATGCCAGGTAGAAAATGGCCTGTCTCCTATTAAGCAGTTATTTGGTATGCTTGGTTGAAAACTCTAACTTCAGAATTTATTTATCTCTAGATGTTTTAGATTACTTTTTCGAAAACAATTGTTTCTACGCATGCGCAGTGATCTGCAGCAGAGGAGCAATGCGTTATGAATTTGCCATAAATTGCTCCACTCAATGTATCAGTCAAAATTATTTCAAACTGATTTCAAATAAATGTTACTTGCAGTTGCTACTGTTGTTTCAACCAGCCAGGTTTGTATTGTAATCAATTGCAATGCTCAAAAAGACAACCTGAATTCGGTCCCAAAGCAAATACCACATGTGTATGTCATTTACCAGCGTTCTACCCATATCATATATGCAATCAAGAGGATCTTCTAGATGCAACAAGTACTGGTAATAACAACGGCGAGACATCTAATCTTTTTGATTGGGTGGGTAATCTTCGGTTCTATTTCTTTTCATTTCGATTACAGCTCAGCAATTCAATAACTGGTAGTATTTAGTGAATTATCATATCAACATTTAGTATTTCTTGCGAACTTATGCTGCAATTTCTTTCATAAGTTAGAAGTGGCTATTTGAGTTTTATGGTTATTTATTTATTACCTGATGGCACCCAAGCTGTTAACTCGATTCACGACGGGTTGATACTGTTAACAGTATGTCGATTTACGCACAATTACACCAAATGAAGCACACCCACTGAAACTACATACCATGCGCTGATTGGCCCATCTTCGCACACGCCCATTCATTGCTGACGCGCTTGTTTAGTAGGCAACAATTACTGTAGCGCATTCAATATCCTCATTGACAAATGATGATAACCATTAATGCTGATAGCAATGAAAATACTAATCCTTATAGTAATGGTATCATGTTACTTGATAAGAAAAAAATTCGCGTAATTTTCTTCGTTCACTGGCATTTAAAATACGTTCATTCACACGTCTGACATTAGACTTGTCTTGCCGAACTAATGAATTTCACTGGATAAGTAAATTGAAAAAAAAGAAACTTTCTAGCGTACTCGTCAAAACAGTTCGATGATTGGGATTTACAATGGGCAGTACGGTGAGCAGCATTCGATGGACGTGAGACAATCGAAGAAACTCTTATTGCTCGGTATTGAGCTGAGTTCAGGTACAGCATTCGCAATAGTGCTGTCATTGTTGGGTTTGGTTGCATTAATGACTACTTTATTATTGGTTTTGCGAAGTTATCGTTTACATAGACAACGGCATCAAAACGACTTAAGACGGAATAATGCACAAACAATTCTACTGCAACAACGAGCCGACGATGACAAATATCTTCCTTGATTCATGCTTCTTCTTCTCCATGATGAGCCTAGTCTCAAGTTACTGCTCAGGCTGCTGCCTGCATGCTAGCTGCTTGTGAGCTTATTACAGCACACCCATATGTTATGGTTTCATGCCGTTTGCCCTTACTATGACGTCTTTCCTCCATCAAAAGCCTCATCATATACAATTATTCATTTATGCACTGAATTATTTTCCACTTTCAAACCACTGATAATTTCAGTTTTGTACTCTGTTACGTAAATAATTCATATATTTATATGTGACCAATAAATGAAATAATCCATTTATCTACTTGTGCATTTATATACATCGTATTCGTTGCTTCAAACAAGGAGCATTTCTAACTCCTTCAGAACAATAAAACTATTCTATGGTTCTCAAGGAATAATTTCATCAAATAAATTCTATCACACAAACTACTCACTTATTCGGATCACTGGAATGTTCTCTTTTCGCCGTTCCAAGCATCCAAAAGCTGTGTGAGACAGAGAAACAACAGACAAATGCATCTTAAAAAACAGTTTTCTGTATCAACAGCTACTAATAAAAACGAAAACAGTTATTTGTATGTATGGGTGATATTAATTGATTGCATCAGCAATAATAATAATGATAACAATAAATTCATTAATAATACTAGTAATGGTTACCAATGTAGCAATACATATAGGATTACAATGTTGCTACAATGAGAGAACATGCAATTAATGTCTGAAAAAAAAGCTAAATCTTCTTCCAAACGAATGATTCGTGTTACTTCTCTGTAGCGATCACAAACACGAGCACAATTATATACACATCTTTCTCTACGTCACGGGGTTGGTTCTCTTAGTTGATTCCATCTGGTTTTATTACAAGTTCATTGAGGAAAAAGTTTTTTTTGAAAGATTTTACTGTAATTTTTCAAATGAAAAAAAAGCAAATATTAAATGCAAACTGGCGAATAACATAAACACACAATGACACACTCACATAGACATCAACACTTACATGCACAAAACGGCTACAACAACAAAATGACAACAACAACAATAACTCAGGTTGTAACAATATACTATGACACATTAATATAATAAGTACCAAAAAATGTATGCCTAAAAACGTGAATACATTTGGATAAGTGGATACATTTTCACTTTATTTTGAAGCAAACTTAATGCAATATTGCGAACTTTCAATCTTTCCACAGAGGAATCTCTCACATCACATCATCGATAATCATGATGAATTTTTCGAACAATAAAAAACGGATAACTCGTAAACGCGATGAATTCAAAATTCAAAAGATCTCAAAGTGTGTTGCATTAACGAATAAATAAATGAATGAATGTATACCGCATCAATCACAAAAAGGGAACAAATTCGCACGGTTTTAAAATCAGCATGTGTGCTGAGTGCAGAATTTTCCAATTTCAAAAGAATGCTCTGAATGCTCTATATATCAATTCAAATTTTTGAGTCAATAGCACAACTCATCTTGTCTCAAAAACTTCGTCGTCATCTGCATCATCAGCTGCATCTCTTCATCATCGCTCAATTGCGCCATCGTAGTTACTGTCGGAAGATATTAAAAACTATCACCGGTTAGTCGATTCGTCGTCACTTATTGACTGTCTTACTGATAGACACTCACACACGTACATGCACGTACATATTCTTGAATGGTGGTGCTACTGATAGTTACGATAAGAAAATGCCAAGAAAAAAAAAGGAACTATTCAATTGCTGAGTGCGATTGAACGAAGATAATTTTCATTTACTCAATCAAATTTAACGAAACTTCTGAATACCAGTGAAAATAGCATAAAAACTGTGAATGGTACAATGTTTCTTCTTGTGAGTTTCATTCAGCGACTGATGCATGAGTGCTTATTCATCTCTTTGAGAAATAATAATTCACAAACGAAAGAGAACAACAGAACTATAAATTAGTCAGTCGGTGAGAAAGTCACTATGATTATGAAGACGCGTAGAACAAATGAAAAATATGCGATTCTTTGGTTTGAATAACATGAAACAAAACAATGTATACTGATGCAAACAATGACGATCATACAAAGCTAACGATGTGAGTATGACCAATCCGTGACACTTCCTAAGCAATCAGATATAAGCGTATCCTAACAGTGAATAATCAATCACAAATTAATATACACTTCTACAGTAACATATTGTGCTCAAAAAAATAAATATTTTGAAAATATTACAATATAATCAATAAATATCAGTGGTTGCTGAAAACATTTAAGTCAGCTGAAACAAAGAACGGAACACTCGAAGATTTGTCAACAAATCGATGGATTTCCTAACGAATCAGTCTACCAACCAACCCGTCACCTTCAAGTTAAATTCATTGCCATTCTTTTTTGAACATAACAGCTGATAGCTAGTTTTACCTCAGCTGCTGCGACATGAAGTAAAACTTTAGATGGAAAACTTCTCAGAGTTGCTAAAAGTGACCTACGAAAGGCAGATGAAAATCAGGTAATGAAAATTCTATAAATGATTACGATATAAAATCAAGCGATCGTTTCGAATGCTAAGCCAATTTCTATCTGAAATTTCCCAATCCAAGCAAAATTTTAAAAGCAAACGCTATGTCACCCCTTTTCTCATCTATCACCACACAAGTTCAGCAATCAACGACCTAATCCACCAATTATTATTTATTCATTACATTCGTTTAACAAATAATTTATATAATTGCCATAAACAAAAACTATTGAATAAAATGATTTTCTTGACCAGCAAAAACAACAATAATTGCTTGGTGGCTCTCACTTTCCAAACGGTAGAAAACCTTTCACCGTTTCAAACGCTCCCGTAACTAAAGTTTTAGCCTTGTCCACTTGTTCAGTGAGACCAAGTTGTCCGATGATACCTAGGAGGAAAATAAGAAATTATCATGCGAGAAGGAAAGTTCTATCTCATTTGGAATATTTAGGCACAAATTTTGATTGAATGTGAATTCTGCACTAGAACAGTTAAACAAAATCGGATAAACGTGCATGAAAAGATGGTGAACGATAAAACAATGTTTTGCATGTTCGTTTCAATTCGTTTGCATATTCGATTATTCAATATTCGTTTTGCATAATGAGAGTTCAGTCATTGTTCGATTATTGCTTTGAATTTGGATGGTGTTCATTTCGGTTATGCAAAACAAAAGACATGACACTAACCATCATCTTCAGCATTCATTTCTTTGGCCAGTTCTTCAGGTGTTTTCTTTCGCGCAGAGCCGATCCGTCCTTCGGTCATATCGAATGGAACACCGTCCTCTTTTTTCGTTATGTTATACTGAATGAAAAAATCTTTTCAAAATCCTAGTTAAAAACAAATAATCACATATGAGGAATTCGTTAGAAAAATCGTGTAATTAGAACTACACATTCATTGTCAAATCGCAGCTGTAATTCAGTTACGAATCAACTCAGCCAAAACACATCAGCAGTCTATGAATCAACTTAATTTGCTAACAAATGGATTAATAAAACAACTGAATGACTCTATAGAAAACCTTCGCACGAATATCCTGACGCATCTTCTCTCGTTCTTGTTCCATTTTTCGATGTTTTTCCTTACGACGTTCTTCTTGTTCCAACCGTGCAGCAACCACCTCAATAACATCCATTATTTGAAGACCACTATCACTGTTTCAATCTTCCGTAAAACGTTTCGTAGCAAAGTCAGATAATGATAATTTGGTAACACCGATTTTTATGCGCTTCTTTCTCTCTTCAATGACAAAAAATTATTGCTTCTTACCTCTGGATCTTCACCGGACTCAGTTTTTTCACCGCCTTCACCCTCATTGTCTCCTGTTAGTTTATCCAAGCCACCTACAAGTGAATAAAAGTTGAAGCATTCCGAATGAAACACAGTAGAATTGAGTGAAACTTTTAAATTGGCTCCCAAAAATGAGCAGCTGTTAGGACAATTCATGATTAATGTTCAGTCATGCATGCATGACATGCAAAAGAAGAAATCTTCCTTCAAATCTGATGGCTAGATTGGCAATACAAAAAGTTTTGTTGCTGACCAACAGTCTATCAACCGACCCTATCAATCACTCAAAGAGCTACTCAACTGAAAAAATTGTTAAAGAACAAGACGAGGAAAACAACATATACGACTCCAAGAATATACGACTACCTATTCTGAAGAATTATCGATTGTTCAATTATGATAATGATCAATTAGATCATGAGTCCTTAAATATTCCGAAAGAAAATTCTGCTCTGCAGCACTTCCTTTATCGAATAGTTCTCTCAGATCTAACAACAACGCCAATTATTTCGACAACAGTAGTACTATGAACATGAGTACTGAAATGCAAATCGTAGTCATTTATCACCTTAACAATTTCGCAAAATGCGTGCGTACATACGGGCTGGCCACAGTGTGCTTTACAGATGAATTGTAATCAACAAAAGAACGTGAAAAATAATTCATAATCAATCTTTCAATCTGTCAATCTCTCACACAAAAGAGGCAAATAAGACGAGATATTGATGATCATCGAGCGATTAAGGTGAATATAGATATGGATTTCGTTGCTGTGTGATACACAGGTGATTGGTTGTGCTACTTATTTTTTCTTCGATCAAAAATAAAAATGAGACAGGTCTTCAGTGCTGTACCAAATGACCATGCGCTCATTCATTCATCCTTCTATTATATACTCACTGAAAGAAATACGATACACATTGCCGCATACGTAGAGTAACAAGAAGGGGAGCTGAAATGCTTCAAAAGAAAAATAATTGCTTGTTCATAATAGGCGGAAGACTCTTTAGTGAATTTTCCGACTGAATCCTGATCAAACTCTATATGTGCATGTATTTGCGGACTGTCAAAAAAAAAAAAACGATGAATAACGATACCAGTAATCGTTATGACTGTTTATAAAGCTCAAAAGGTATTCTTCGTCATCGTCACAGTGATTTGGTGAAACAAGATATGTGTACATATACGTATGCAAATGTATGTTTACTGGAAACTGAATTTAAAAAGCTGCTTACTTACTGCATAGGAAGTAATTTGAAAAAATTATTGGAGAGGGAAGAAGAAAAATAAAGGAAATATATAAATTTAATTGTGCATGTATCTAATAATTTTCGATTGGGTTTCAGAATTCCTACCAAACATTCTACAGTTTCATCTCACATCAGCTATGGAACGCTTTTCATAGCAACAGAAACCACTTCTTCCTAGGGGGCTAACGTTTAGAGTTGAGATTTTGGCAGCAAATGAAATGAAGTACGCATTAAGCGTTTTTGATAGCGAATCAATTCAGTTCATAATTGGAAAGTGATCTGTAAGAATTCGAAATCGTGTTACTTCGACAATATCTAATTGGAATATGTGAAGACAAAATCATAAAATGCGTGTCTTAAGCTCGCGCGTGTCTTAATGGAATTGCATAAGCTAATGTGCAGTCCACTCATCATGTTCTTAGCTGTTCGTATTAGAATTAACTTAATTTGCAATAGAATTTTCTCTTATTTTTTAGCTTTCAATCGAAGAAAAAGTGACGGTAATTTTCATCTCTTCAAAATAGTACAACTCGAAGACGCATCCTCATCATTAAACACACAGTCTTCACATTCCATGAAATCAAGCGATTCTGGTTGAGTTTACGATATAACAAACCATAGCAAATGAATCAAGCGTACATGGATGGCACTTACAAACAGAAGGAAGGCAGAGAGGCACATTAAGGCACTTGAAAAGGATGATCATAGTAAGTAGTAAGATAAATGAGAGACGGCAAAATGAGATTTGATAAGAGACGGCAAAAAAACGAACAAAACCATATACTAAGGCAGCAGTAACGACGGAGACTCCTAACTGACGCTACTCGCCTGCATGAATTACTCCATGATGCATATCGCATGAAAAATACGCTGACTGAGATTCACGGTGGTGCTTGAATATCACCACTGATAGAAAGGTAACGGTTATGAAGTTACTTTGTAAGCAAATATCTTGAGAATCTTATTGTTAATGGAAAAAAATGGAAATGAAAACAATTTTTATTTGATAGATGCTTGTCTCGAAGAAAATACGATGATTATTATGTTGTAAAAAAGAAAACAGAAATGCAGAAAACAAGTAGATGTATGCTTATAATGCGATAAGATTATTTGACGATAAGATGTGGATCTGGTTTAGGTAACAAATGCATTATGCGTTCCTTACCTCCAAGTGGATTGCCTAGCATTGAGCCAACGATCATATTCATCTTGAGAATCACTCAATTCAAATAGCGGGTATGAGATGATTGGTTGATGGAAACGATGTGGAATAACGGCAAAATTGAATCGATGGAATCAATTTATTATCAATGATAAAATCACAATAGGAATAATGCTAGTGATGAGGTCAACGCGGGATTGATGCAGTACCAAGAAAATAAACGAATAATGAGTGGGCAAAACGAACTGATGGTGAATCGTTTCTGAACGAAGAGTTATTCACAGATTTAGAAACGAATTGAAGAAGACGATAATGAGATATTCTTGCTTTACGATTTGAATGTTAACTAATTAATGTTAATGTTATGAATGAACGGATGAGAAGAGATTTACTCTACTGGGTGATAACTAAATAGATGGAGTAAAGGTATCAGCAGCAGCAGAGCAGCAGCAGCAGCAATCAACTAGGCTGGTGGTGAGTTGATGAAGTCAAAGAAGACCGATGTTGATTTGAAGTTGCTGAAGTGTCACTACCTGAACAAACAACAAGTAAATGTCGCCAAGTGGAGTTGAGCTGAGCCGAACGAAGTCAGCAGAAGTGGACCAAATGAGATGCTTGCATCAAGTCAGCAATAAGAGAAGAGCAATGAGCACTAGCAATAGCAGTAGCAGTAAGCAGCAATAAGAAGCAACTGCTCACAACTAATATCTCACAAGTAACCACCCAACTCAACTACTAACAGAAAGAACAGATCGTTGTCACCAAATATGCCTAGAGGCGCTTGAATCATTCGATTCCCTTCTCGATTCGATGCAGCAGCCGTCTGCAATACAACGACGGCGATTCGATTTAAGGATGAATAAAATGAGCCAGAAGCATCGACAAGAGAGTAAGAGACAATCAGAGGGAGGATGAAGAAGCAGAAGAAGTAGTAACATAAAGCTGCTACAGCATCACAGCTAAACGAGTGTATCACCCCACTTGTTTTGTGTATATATGTCTATGTTATGCATGCGTCCACATATATTATATCTGGGCTCGTTCGTGTATATGGCGACAGACATATATATGTGCAATCATCTCGTCAGACAGATTATCAACGCTGTCGGTAACCGTGCTTCGGTAATTTGCAGTGGTCGATTTTTGTTAGACATCAGCTTAAGCTCAAGCGCAGGCCTCTGGTGCAGACGGCCGCCTGCTATGATCTCATCAGTAAAATGAAGGTTAAGTAAGCAATGAATATGGTGTTTTGAAATGAAGAAACGAATTAAACTTCAATTGAATTTGAAATGGAACAACCGCTAGTGCAGTTAAGTTACGGTTGCAAAAACGTTGCTTTACAAAGTTTATTGTGACAAGCTTTTGTTTATTGTAGTTATTTGATGAGCACATCAAGTAAACAGCCAAGTTTAAGCCACCAACCAAAGAGCCATACATTATGCTATCACTTATTCATCGCTCATTCTTATTCGGTTCATGAAGGTGATAAAATGAGAAATTGGAGAGTCACGATAAAACGGGATAGCGTAGAAGGAGGCTCCTAGTTTCGTGCGGCTAAGTCGTAAAATTTAGCCAAAATGAAGATTATATGACCACATTAAACATGAGCATTCCCAAAGAGTATTCCTTGAATGTGTATTCGAATTACGATGGTTAAAGGATGTAAACTGCGACGGTCACTCACCTCTCATTTCGTTCAACTTCCCTCCAACCATTTGCTTCATTACAAAGCTCGCCATATTGACTGAATACTTCCCTGCAAATAGAGAACATTTCTCATAACTATTTTATGATTTAAAAATTGATATCGAAACGTGATAATAATGAAAGTAATACAGAAGCAACTTAGATATTGTCAAGAAACGAGTGAATCCTCGATAATATCTTCGGTGTTCAGCATCTGAAGTGAACAGATTTTCATGGCGGGTGCTAATGATATGTGAAGAAGTGCGATTATTTGACGACGCAACGGAAGACGGCACAAAGAAAACCGAAAGCGTACGAGAGGGAAAAGAGGATATTAGGTATTTCCGGAAGGTATTCTTCGATGGTTGCATTAATGATTTGAAGTGATGGGTATTGTGTGATGAGCAAGCATTTCATTGGATTTATTGCGTTCATGAATAAGCATCAAAGTAACTAATGCAGTAAACAGAAGAAGATAAATGATGGGAACCATAAGAAGAATCGATAACTCAAGTCGTTTTCGGATTCATCCATTCATTATTCATTCATTCGTTCGTTATTCATCCATTCAATGGTTTGATGGCTTGAATACTTCACTTCTCAACCATGAAAACAGACAAACAATATTACATCACGAAAACAAACCCAACATACATACTAAGACAGACATAAATACCCTAGGGCAATGCGATACTGAACATTTACATTTACATATAATACATGTCTGTGGGTTTTGTTTGGTCTTCGTTCTTCACATTCATTCTGCATATTCTTGAAGCATTTCCTAGCACACATCCTCTACTCGTCTGTAGTTGATAGGTGCCGTGTTGTACTCTTCGTTGCTCCATCTGTTATAAAATTCGCTTTTTAAGCAACCGTATCGTTATCATGTTCGCACAGATATCATATTTTGAGAATTTTCGAGCACATCACACACTACATCAATTAGGCCACGTACATCACACGTTCGATTGCTCTTGTTTAATCGTTTATTCGTTATTTGTTTGTTGCTAATTAATGGATACTGATGTTGCTTATCTTAATGCTTTAGTTTCTTTGGGCGTGAGCTTGCTGAATCCATAATGGAAGCATTCCATTTTATAAATGAAACTGATGAATTTGTGGACGACGACGAAAACAACAACAACAAAAAATTATTGCAACAATTTCGCATTAAGAAAGTATAGTCTCTATCGAATCTGATAGGTGAATTTTGCAACTTTATACGAAGAAAGGCGGTGG